TTTTGTATGACTTATTGTTTTAAAAATGGAAATTTTACCTTGGATTTTTAGGATGTTACATTAAGGGTTTTAATTTTATTTGTTTTACCTAAAACCATATCACCTATTATTGTCACGTCCTGGCTAACACAAAATGTGTTATACTTCATATTTTGATCATTAGGCTATAACTATTTGTACTTTTACATTATATTACTTGTTTTTATGCAGGAAAACAATCTATTACTTCTATTACAACCATACTCATGCATCTAATTTTAAGTTTACAAAAATGGGTATTACATAATATGCGTTCATATATTAAATTATTGATATTGCTTAAAATGAAGAACAAACATATAACATCTATCAACTCTTTATTCACATAAGGTTTAAAGAAATTTGTAAGGTGTGATAGAAACTTCTTTTTTTGTTATCATTTAAGGGTATATTTGAGAAAACTTGTGAAAAAAACCTCACGAGCTTGTCACTAAGTTATCTCAATTAGTTTGTTTTTTTAACCGGCTTATAAGCTACTTTTGCGGTCTTACTAAACACTACATTGCAATAAACTTAAAAAATAAGCTAGCTTATAGTGTTTCAAAACACAGCCTTAAGCTGATTATGGTGACAAAAAATGTCTTATCATGTCATTATAGGCTTGGACATTTGCATATGGAAAAATATGTCACTAAGCCCCTAAAAAGCCAAAAATAAAAGATTAAGGGACATTTTAAACCAGAACATAGAAAGTTTGTTGGGCTCAATAACATTATCTCTTTGTCAATCGATTAGTTTTCAATTTAATTACTTATTGATGAGTGGGTTTTGCATTGCAATGATAAATATGATGAAAACACTACAAAATAATGCACAAAGAAAGATCGCAAGATGAGATGAAGAAATCGATCAAAAGCTAAAACGAATCGAAGAAATGCGGGATCAAGAAGAAGAAAAGATAAGCCGAGGACCGAAGTGAAGTGGTGAACAACAAAGGATGGTTGTGAACATTGGACGCAACGACAAAGTATGGGCAATAAGGATGTTGTTGGACAGATTAATCATACCTTAGTCTTTCGATCATATCTGACTCATCGGAGCATGGTGCTCCGATTGACACGATTCAAGTTGGCGCGGAAAGAAGACAAAATGCCCTACAACCTATCAAAGCCGAAATCAGCCCATAAGTTGGAGCAATGAAACTGTTTAAATCTGAAAATTACATGTAAAACCTTACAACCACCTTCCCACATCGTTACCAACTCAAAACCACCTTCCCACATTGTAACCAACTCAAAACCTTACAATACCGATGCATATCCCACATCTAAACCCTCACAATCCTAACCAAAATCCTTGAACCCGACGTAAACAAACCACCTAATTCTCCCATGCACACACATGCATAATGAGAACCTCATTTAAACCAACGCCACTCTCATGTGAACATTCCACCGCCTCATTACTCATAGCCCATACAAACCTTTTTTTTATTTCACATTAGCTTATTCTATTAATCAACCATGCGTACTAATCCTTTATCCTACCCCTTGCATCCCACGTAAATCAAACATTCTATCCACCGCCATATGTTTCTTCATCTCAATTCTCAAGGAAACCAAAACCTTTCTATTACCCTTGATGCACACGCAACCATTATAGTCTCATAATACCATTACAAAACCTTCTTAATTGCATCCCACATCGCTAATAATAAAAAATACATCAACAATTCACCCTTTTCAGTTCATCGTTCGTCCCTTCAATACTTTAACAAGCATGGAGTCAACATTAGCATGAGCGGCTACGCATTTTGTAATCATCCCTAGGTAAATATGTCGGTTAAAAAATTTTGTTTTTTGTTTGTTTATTTATTTATTTTCTCTTTTTTCATTTAATTTACAACTCAATTAAAATTATTAGTTTTCTTAATTTCAAATTTATGATTGTTTTCCTTTTAATTTTATGATTGTCATGTTTCGCTCCTTTTTGTTTTAAACTGATTTTTCGAAAACAATTAAAACACATATTTTAAACACATAGTTTTACCTACAAACTCCATATGGATTCGACCCGACTTATCATAGCTATCTAGATTGGTTTATTTTTGACTGAGACCCAAATTCGATCACTTATCAAATGAGTTGTATCCCATGATTCACCAAACAACAATGTTTTAGTAGAAGTCATGTTGGGTATATTATAGCATTTGAATCATGAGGAATGAGACTTCTAACATTTTTTTTTTCCATTTTTCTATCACAAACATGTATTTACCGATTTCTAGTTGTGCTTGACATGCTAACTGAAAATTTAGTTTTTGCATCCGGTAGTTGATAAGGTAATAACGTTTGATAAAAACTAGTTGATAATGAAAATAAAAAAAATATAAAATGACATTTAGATGTATTATTAAAAATTAATGTTATATTGTATGAAACATCATCAAAATAAGTCTCAAATTCCGTCATATAAAATTAATTAGCAACAAAAGGTTTTTAATCAATTTTAGGTTGGATAGAGTCCAACCCATGTGTACCCTTCATTGCTGGCGGGTTGAAGATGCGGAGCCGTGTTCCTTCTGAAGCCGCCTCCCGCCTAACCCTCTTCTCCATTCCCTTCTTTGAGTCAAACACCAACTGGTTGAAGAATCCGCCAAGATAACTTTTTTTGGGGGGTAATATGCATATTTGTTTACTAACTCTTAAAAATAACTCGGAGAATCCCTCTGTCATATTTTGGTCATTAACATACATAAACGAACTATATTGCATTTATTTAATTATTTTTACTTTCTTTATTATTTATTTATTGATTATAATATAAAAGAGAAATATTTAATTATTTTTACTTTCTTTATTATTTATTTATTGATTATAATATAAAAGAGAAAAATAGGCCTTACCCCAACGTAATACCTCTCTCACATACACTCTCTCCAGGTTTACTCATGACACTCTTTTTGATAGTGTTGTTCAGTCTAATTTCAGTCAGCCAGCCCATGAAACACTTGTGTACGCAAGGGGACTACAATTAGGAATGCTCTCAAATACCTTGTATGCAATGTAATATTGTAATGTCTATACGACGAAAAAACATCGACATTTCCCTAATCTCAAATCTGAAAAAGAATCAATCCCGAAAAAAATGAAATCGCAACATCTAAAAAAAACTTATTTGTTGAGAAGATGACAGAGAAATTGCATTAATTACAATGAAATCAGAGTAAATAAAATGAAACAGAGTGATGTTTTTTCACATCGACCAAATATCGATTGAGCACACACATTTCAAAGTAAAAATAATCACAATTTTTAGAAACCGGAGGCAAAAGAATATTGAAGTTGCACTTTTTCTCGATGAAGGTTGTCCAAAGTTGAGAAGTAAGCACCTGTTGTCGAACATGAAATCAGAGGCAAAAGAAGTTGAGAAGTAGCATCTATTGTCGATGAAGGTTGTGCAGAGTTGGTATAGATGAACGTATTTGTTGAAGATGAAGAGGCTACGGGCAAAATTGTCTTTTCTATCTTTTCCTACTAATTATCACAATTTCCGGCGGATGGTTTTGAGGACTCCATAAGGCAACCTTTTCATTTCCAATCCTTTCATTTCCTTCCTTTCCCTCCCATAATATAAACTCAATAAAACATGATTTTCCTTCACAATCACTTCCTTCCCTTCTTTAACACCTTGTTCTCGATTTACTTTAAACAAGGAAAGGGGAGGAAAGAAAGGAATTTGGAAGAAAAATCATGTTCTTGAGTGTTTTTATGGGAGGAAGGGGAACGAAATGAAGGGATTGAGATGGGAAAAGTTGCGTTTTGGAGTCCTTAAACCATTCTCCCAAAATTGGGATAATTAGTAGGGAAAGAAAGAAAAAAACAATTTTGCTCTTGGCTTTTTCATCTTCAGCAAATACGTTTATCCACTTCTTAACTGTGCACATCCTTCATCGAGAACAAGTGCGAATTCAATCTTTTGCCTTTGATTTCAGGTTCCATTTCTCATTCTTTCTTATTGTTTCATTTTTTGGTCCGAAATAAATGGGTTGCATGATTTCTTTTACTCCGATTTTTGAAATTGAAATTAGCGGATCAGTGGATTCCTGGTCAAATGTGACAGTCAGTTTGATTTCATTTACTTTTGATCAATCGGATTTCTCTCTCGGCATATGATTTTTTTTTTCTTTTTTTCTTTTTTAAATTGTTGCTACGATTTCATTTTTTTAAGGTTTGATTCTTTTTGAGATTTAACATTAGCGAATTTTCGATGTTAAATATTTTAGTATCATGATTCAATCAACCAAGTAACAAGGTTTTTGAAAAAAAACACCCTAAATGAGTTGTTTGCAACTTATATATGTGTAGTCCTCTTTCTTTTGTACGAATGAGCATAAGACGGAACCGATACTAAACCGGTACTGAATACCAAAATGGAACCTACTGAACCGAACTAACATTACTGGGGTACTAACACGGGTACTGAATCCCGAATTTCGTGACTTTAGAGTACTGAATACCATCTCATATGTTTACATTAAGTACTGAATTTCTTGTTTTTGTATGCCATTTGATTTGTTAATCCATAAGACCATATCTCAAGTTTTATGTTTCATGTATGCAGACCATAAGCTAATGAATGAGTTTTATACCACAATGTCATCTTTATGTATGTATGTACTCCAACTCTGCCATTTCTATTAGACTTTTGTCCCAGTTTTGCCAATTATCATTTTGTAGCACAAATCAATTTCATATGTTGCTATCTGTTGCTGTTGGTGATTTTTGTTTTTTTGTAGTTATAAATCTTGATTTTTTATACATTAAATATCATTTTCTTTTCATTTCCTTTCAACTTGAGAACATAACTTTCCTACCTTTCATTCCATTTCCTTCCAACTCAACAACACAACTAATTATTATTTTTTTCCTTCCCTTTCTTAAATTTTAAAACTCGAGAACATGGTGTAAAATAACTCAAAAACAGAGAGTAATATAATAAATAAATTATAAAAGTACATACATAAAGATAATATAATCATTTCATGTCTAAAGGGACGGAATCTATAACAAAACCAAACAAGATACAGACAAAACACGCAAATTAACTCAAACCACAATGATGATTTGATAGTTGATAATATTCCACCAATCACCATAATCACAAATGAAACAGACAAAAGTTAGAAGTCATGTATAGTAATACTAACCTAAATGTATGTTTGGCAAACCCAAAAGCTTCAATATGCAGCCACCTCAGTAGATTTGCAGCCATCAACATCCACCCAGACTTCATTTACTCGCCCAAAGAACTTAAGTGGAGAGTTATATTGTGCAATTGAGTATGCAAAGCTACTAGAAGAAGAAGTACAGTATGGAGACTTGCTTAAACTGGTGGCTAACTTCTCAGCTTCTTCCACAATGTTGTTATCTCTTGCAAAACCAGAAAATTGGCGAACTGCTTTGCAACTGGAGGTCCATGAATCAGGGACAAGGTTGAGTTCAGGGAGAGGAAGAGGGGGTGTCGATTGGAACTTCTCTGGCAAGTAGAAATACACGACATATGCTGATGAATCAAGGGGCCCTGCTCCAGGGACAAGGCTTGTTAACACAGGAACTGTCATTGGTACACGAGAATTGTTCAAATTTGCACCTTCAATGTACTGGAACAACCTGTAAGACAATATGCATAATACGCTAATAGCATCAAGTAATTCAAGTCTCTTATGAATTGAATCATATTCATATATAGAGCAATCATGATTCATGAACTAGTTGCATGAACAGATAGATTCATTAGGAGATGTACAAGTAATTATAATATGGAACATGATATACTATCAGGTTTAAAAAGCAGTCAGTTTAACATCAAAGACGTTTATTAGTTTGGAACGCATCGGAGGAGTATCGAATTTTGATGCCCTAGGATCAAATTTGAAACATGAAAATGGAAATATTGAATTTAATCATTCAAAAGACGAAGAATCGAATCCCACAGCTCATAGAATACAGAAAAAATCAAACCGGTAATCGGCAATAATAAGATAGGAAAACTATAGAGAGGAACGAAAGGAAACCTGTGGAAGCCATCTCTGGTTGCTTTTCGAAAGGAAATTTCTTTGACGGGAGCGCTCATCCAAACTGAATCTGTATATAATCTGATCTCAAATTCCGATTCCGAGTGAACGACTGTGTACTGTGGTGATTCATACGCGTTGCTAAGCCCTAATATGCAGACGACGTTGACGATCGCTAATAAGAAAGACAAACTCCTCTTCCCCATTGTCGTTACTCACAAGGTCCGCTGCTTGCCTGCTCGGCTTGGTGCAGTTCTCAGAATAGTTCTGCTTCGTGGATTTCGTAATCAATAAAAAATTATATGAGAAAATTTAGCAAATAACAAAAAGTGGGGAGTGCTTCTTGAAAGCAAATTAACATGAATAACACAATTTTATAAAGAGAAATTAAATATCCTCTTACTTTTGTTCCTACCCAATTAAATGATGACATGTGACATTTTAGTATACTTAAATATTATTAAATGAGCATTAAATATGACACATGTCATCATTTAATTGGGTGAGAAGATTTGTAGGAACAAGAAGTAGGATGATATTTAATTTCTCTTTTATAAAATGACACAATTTTATAAAATGACCACGATTTCTGCGAAATAAGAAAACTTTATGAGGAAACGACGTGGCGGGGAAAAAGACAAAAAAAGATTATAAAATTTTAATTCCGCAGAGGGTGCGTCGTTCCACAGAGATACCCTCTACGGGTTTGTTCTTCAGAGGAGTACCTCTGAGGAATTGTTCTTCGCTTAAACATGGTTTATTTCTTCGTTAAATTCTAAGTCTGTTTCTTAGAAACATAGTTTTATTGTTTAAATTGTTATTTTGAATCAATGATAACGAAGAACAATCCCTCAGAGGTACTCCTCTGAAGAACAAACCCGTAGAGGGTATCTCTGTGGAACGACGTGCCATCTGCGGAATTAAAATTTTATAAAGTTTTTTTTTTTTTTGTCTTTTTTCCCCACCACGTCATTTCCTCATAGCATAAGGACTTCCGTAGAGCCCCTCTCTGTGGAAGTCATTATCATTTTATAAAATTGTGTTTTTCTTGGTCATTTGCTTCAAATACTCCCTTGCTTTTGGTTATTTGATGAATTTTCTCAAATTATATTACAATTGAGTTAAATTATAAACATTAAACAATAGTGTAAAACTAGGATTTTTACGGGCACAAATTATAAACTTTTTCATTAGCAATAAAAATTTAGGATGTCAAACACCAAAACCATGTATAGAAAATTAGGATGACTTAAGATGTAAAAAGACAAAAGTAATGGATCAAAGTCATGCCAAACAAAATGCTTAAAAATAAGCACAAAACATTTAAAAAAAAAGATTATGTCGAAACATAGAGAAACCTAAATTTATACCGATACGTATATAAAAACATTTTTTTTATTAAATTAACGAATGAAAGTTCAAAATTTACTTCGAAACGTTGACCATTCAAATTTATACTTACACATACATAAAAATATACACGTAACAAAGTAGTTTTTTTTAACTTAAAGAATTTTACAAAATTCAAAACCGAATGGGTCACAGTGACATTTTACAAAGTCCATGTTGATAATTGTAAGAGAATCAGATTCTGTATACTGCGGGTAGTAAACACGAAAGTTTAGAAAATAAATGGGGTGAAAGTGACATTTTAAAAAGTTCAAAGTTGAAGGGGTAAAAAAGATATTTTAAAAAGTAGATGGATGAAATAGACATTTTAGAAAGTTCAAAATTGATAGGAGTAAAAGTGATATTTTACAAAATATAGAATGGAAATATCATTTTACAAAATAGTGGAGGGAAAACTGAAAAATAGGAGTAATAGAAGAGTTAACCAAAGCTCGTAGAAAACTCCACCCACTTTGATTTTTAGAATAAATATAATTATAGAACGGTCCCTCAGTTTTTAAAAATTCATTTTTAGTCTATTTTTGAGTTTTACAACGAAACAATAGATGGTTTTATTTCTTTATTGATGAGTACGTAGCCTCATAAAGGAATCTAGAACTAAAACACAACTTTGATCTTGTACCTGTAACAAATGGTTAGTTGTATCATGAGTTTCCCAAGTGTACAAGTAGCCCTCCTTTGTTTTAACCTGTACATATTTAAATAGGATCGAGCATGGGCCGGTTTAGGTAAAATCGAACCCAAAACCGATACGTTCGGTTTCGGGTTTGAAACCCAGTGGGTTCGGTTTCGGTTTCACAGGTAGCTTTGCAGTTTTTCGTGCTTAACCCATGGGTTTTGGGTTTGAATGCATGGGTTTTGAGTATTAACCTATTTTCCAACAATTTTAAATAATGTGAAACAAATTCAACCAATTCCAAACAAAAACACTAAAACCAATCAACTAGTTAAAAAAACATTTTAAAAGACAACTAGTTTAAAGAAACTAAGGAATATTAAAAATTAAAACTATTTAATGGGTTTTGGGTTTAAACCTAATTATTCGTGAGTTTGGGTCAGCTTTTGTTTGGTTTTAAAACCATTGGGTCCTTTTGGTTCAAGTGGGTCGGTTTAATGTGTAAACATAACCCAAACTGAATTTTTCGGTTTTGAAAAATCTAAACCCTAAACATACGGTTTGGGTTCGGTTTTGATTTTTCAATTTCGGTTTTGGTTTTTGTTTTGCACAATACTATATTAAGTGTAGAAAGTTGTAGAGTTGTCAATCATTAGCCGTGTTCTCAAGATTTTTTAATGAAGGAAATGGAAGGAAAATATGTTCTCGAGGGGTTCTTTTTTGGGGAAATGACACATTAGCCCTATAACATATTGTAAATTTGCCCATTCAGTCCCTTAAGTTTTTTTCGTGCTTTATTAGGGAAAAAGCTTGTTAGTGACCTGTCCATTTGGTCAATTTGGTCACATGGACCTTTATTAACTGGTTACTAGCTCCACTTAATCCAATTAATCCATATCAGCGTCTACGTGGATCAAACGACGACGTTTTAAGTATGGAGTCTTATTATCCAAGCTTTGGACTGTTCAGTACCCATGTACCTATAAAAACATCTTCGTGCCCTAAAAGGATCACACACTAAAATGTTGTTGCCCTAATTACGCACAAGAGTTCCTACCCTAATGACAAACAAAATGCATCCCGTTAACTCTCCCCACCACAGTTGGTCCTTTGAAGATTGTCGCCACATCACCGCAAATGGGTCAAATGGAGCCCAACATCAAGACATCCAAATAACACTCCTCCAACTACAACTAGAGGTATATTTGATCAGGGATGAAGTGAATGGAAACCTATGTGAGCTTACGGATAATTTGTGTCGCGGGATGGATGAGCTGCATTGTGAAGTCAATGATGTCAGGGCAGGGCAGCTGGATATGTCCCACATGATAAATGACCTCAAGAACCATTTTTCTTATTGCAGTCGGCGTCTGTGAAGGTGATCATTGAGTTAACGACAATGAAGAAAAAGATGTGTGTATTCACATATGTGTTTAGGTGTTAGCTATTGTGGGTGTGGTGATGACAGTCAACCAATACTTCTGATGACGGAGTACTTAGTTTTCTTTGTTTGGGTTTTGGATTTTAAGGGAAAATGGTTGGGTTTTGGGGGTAAATGGTTGGTTTGTATGGGTAAGTCGTTACTGTATTTTGGTTGTCCAGTGGTCTGATATTTGATCTTTTTGTGTATTTAGGTATGAAACTTGGATGCCATTTTGTTGGTTGTTTAATTTTATTTAGGAAGTAAATCGTGTATGATGCCATGTAAGTTTGAAACCCAGATCAACGAAAACATAGTAACTTTATGGGTAAATAGCACAAAAAACACTAAGTTTACACAAAAATTCTAATTTTGACACTGTGTTTTTTTTTCTCAAACTTGACACTGTGTTTTCCAATTTTTTATAATTTTGACCACTTGACTGGTCAACCCGGTTACCTGCTGACGTGGCATGCTGACGTGACATGCTGACGTGTCAAAATTGAATTTTTTTCCCACAAAAGGCATTGAGTTTTCATTTTTTTTCGATTTTGACACCAAGTTTAATTTTTTCTTTCAATTTTGACACTTCGTTTTTTTTCTTCCAAATCGAGCATCATTTTTTCTAATTTTGTTCAATGTTGGCCATTTTCCATTTGAAACCATATAAATATTTTTTTAGTACATTTCAAACCGTATAAATATATTTTTTTCATTTAAAAACCATATTTTTGTATAAATACAAGGTTTTTTTTTACATTTAAATCATAGTTTTATGTATAAATATGTATTAGTTATATAAAAACCATATTTTATATTAAATACGCAACTTTAAAATGAGTTTGAAGGTTTGGAGGCATGTAATCGATCAAGGCTGCAACCCGTAAAATTTTTACATCTTATTCGAAGCTTATGGTTAGTTTGGTTCTCATGATATAACTAATGCATATTTATGCATAACATTATGCTTTGAATGTAAAAAAAACCTTGTATTTATATAAAAATGTGGTTTTTAAACGAAAAAAAATATATTTATACGGTTTGAAATGTACTAAAAAAATATTTATATGGTTTCAAATGGAAAATGGTCAACATTGAACAAAATTGGAAAAATGATGTTCGATTTGGAAGAAAAAAAAAATAAAGTGTCAAAACTGAAAGAAAAAATAAAACTTGGTGTCAAAATCGAAAAAAATGAAAAAGCAGTGTCTTTTGTGGGAAAAAACTCAATTTTGACACGTCAACATGTCATGTTCGCATGCCACGTCATCAAAACTGACACATCATCATGCCACGTCAGCAGGTAACCGGGTTGACCGGTCAAGTGGTCAGAATTGTAAAAATTTGGAAAACACGGTGTCAAATTTGAGAAAAAAAAAACACTATGTCACATTAGAATTTTGGTTTAAACTTAGTGTCTTTTGTGCTATTTACCCTAACTTTATCTACGTATTGTTTCCTTATTTAATTACATGTCAAGGCAACCTGTAGGACCCAGTTTGATAGTTGTTCATATGTAGTTGTATTTTAAGGAAAAGTTTATTTTTGTTTGATACGTAGTGTTGGGACCACAATGTCTAAAGGTTGTGAAATTCTAAATATCGCAAAAGAAAGGGACAACGGGACCCTCAACCCCCATGACTGCACAACACAATAAAATAACCCAATTTGCACATGGACAAAAAGTTCCAAAAAGGGAATAAAAACAAAAAGAATGTTGTAACTGAATACCAATGTTTGTAATGTGTCCTTTTCCCAAAGCTCTTAAATATTGTGTGACATCTAGATATACATCCAATAATATAAAAGGGACAAAATTATTTTAAGTCAACATACAATTAGTTGATATTTAACCATATATGGGAAAACTTTGGTACATTAAGGGGCAATTATGGAAACATTTTATACCAACATTCCAACTAAATAGTTTAAAGACAACCATGAAAGGAAATTACACTCATTGTTTGATAACAAACCATAAGTAAAATTTACATAAATACCCTTACCCATAACAACCTTTTACCAAATTACATAAATACCCCTGCCCACAAACACTGCACCCACACTAATCCAATTCCATAGCCTTTGATGCGATGTTATCTTCACCTTCAACTCTTTTTACCAACTTCATTTCAAGGATTCTTTCAGACTTTTTTTTTCTTTTTCGTGGTTGTTCTACATTACCTACACACACTTAATATTTTTTTAACCTTAACATCTTAATCAACTTCATCACGCATGACAACATCTTCCCTAGCCCCTTCCATGTTCACTGACTCTTGTGTCGACCTCACAACTTGTCTTTTCCTACCATTATTTTTAGTTGGCCTTTCAAGTTGAGGACAAGTAGTCTTGTTGTACCCTCTCTATTTGCATATACCACAATAGACAGGTTTTCCTGCCTTTGATACTATGTGTCTTCCAGTACTTTCAAAAGCATCTCTTATCTCTTCATGGTTGGTCTTCCTTGCATCCTTTTTTTATTGGAGGCGAATAAGGGATTTGTTCTGTAGGAGGCCACATGTTTCTTCCATTCATCCAATGTATGGAGTGTTTGTAAGCATTATGGTAGAAGGTTGCCAAGTAAATTGGTTCTACATATGGTGAATCATGCTTGGTGTTTAAGATTGATAATGTTGCAACTAAATGCACACACCTATACCCATTCAATTGCCATAGCCTGCATGTGCATTCCTTCTTCTGCACATCAACAACACAAGACTAGTCCATGCATCTTGTTTCAATCTTCATCACTTCACATGAAATAACTTGCAAAGACCTAAAGGCATGAAAAAAAATTCATTATATATGCCAAATTTTAAATTATTATTTAATTTGTATGGTTACATACCTTTGCTTAATTTTTAACAGATTCAACTTGTCTCTGATGTCTGGACTTACATTGTAACGATTCCATCCTTGTCCCTTAAGTTACATGTTGAACATCCTTTGCATCACATAAGTATGAATATCTTCTAACATAATAATAATGGGTTTCTTCCTAGCATCCATTATAACACTATTGAAGCTTTTTGAGTATCCATTCTCCACAGATTCACAAGAGGCATGGTGAAGTTTGAAGAAATCCAACAACCATGTGGTAGGATCCCTCTCCATTAGATGCACAAAGGCAACAAGATTTATTTCTTGAATCTCCTTCATGCTTGCATTGAAATGTTCTTCAGTAGTTGCTTTACTGTCCCTCCATAAAATATTCTCAAATTATGCTCCAAGATTTTTTTCCTAAAGTTAGCATAGATATGCCTTGCATACTGCCTGTGTTCTGCTGCTGGTAAGGCCTCATTCACTGCCTCAACCAATCCTTATATATGTAGAAGCATATAATAAAGCTATATTAACAGACCATGTGTTGTAATACACTAACAAAATGTACTATACCTTGTGTTGATCAGATATTATCACAAGCACACTTCCTTGATATATAAACTTCAAGTATTTTGAAAGATTCTCAATAACCATTTCCATCTGTCTTTGTTCTCTACACATACAACTACCCAAGCAACAAGTAAAATTCCATTGTCAGCATCCCTACCCACAAGACAAAGTAACTCACCCTAGCTAAAACATTTCAGAAAACAACCATCAAGGTTAATTATACTTCTACACTCTGCCCTCCAACCCTCTTTCACTCCATGAAAACATATGTAAATCCAAGTGAAGTAATTTTTACCATCAGGCATTGCTTCAACATAATTTTTTACAGTTGAACCTTGATTTGATCTTTTTATCTTCGTACCATATGGCCATAACTTGGCATAATTGTCTGCAATTGTGTAACATTCTGATGATGAGGTATTTTCAATTTTAACCCTAAGAATGAAGAATTATTTCATTTTGGCCCTTGTGCATGAGAAATCTTGCAAAATGGCCCATAGTGGCATTTTTGTAATTTTGTGGCGGACTTACGTACGCGGGGCGTATATGTGAGATCCACAAACCCTAATTTTTAGGTTTTGGACCCTATTTAATCAACTTATGGCCTCCAAACCTCATCTCTCATCAGCCTCCAACACCTCTATACGACCTTAGCAAATCGTAGCCACTTGTTTGAGCATTGTTGACCCTTGTGTGTGTTTTTGGTGGCCTTGAAGGAGAAAGAAGGAAGTAGAACCACCTTGGAAACTTGAAGGAGCTTTGGATCTAGGATCTTCATGTATCTAGCAACCTCCAAGAGGTATAAAGCTTTAAACTTGGCTTGTAATTTCTTAAATCTTGCTAAGTTCTTGATTCATGAACATTTTGTTCCCAAGACTTGACCTTTTTGAGTTTGGCATGCTCCATCCCATTTAATATTTACTTTAAGACATTTTGAGTAGTTTATAAGCATAACAAATAGGGTCTTTGCTCTTAACTCTTCCCCATGCATGTGCTTGGTGGTCTTAATGGGTTAAGAGGTTGGGGTTTCAAGCATTTAACACTTATTGGCCCTGCAAGACCATAAAGTTGGAAACTTTATGGTCAAGAACGATATTTGGGACTTGGATCTTCGTTTTAGACGTAAAAGATTGAGTATTAAGCACTTAGTGCATTAAGAAGAAGTTCAGTTGTGTACGCTGGGCGTACCAATTGGTACGCTGTGCGTACGCGGCCAAACCCATGTTTCCTGGTCAGCCATGAAGTACGCCCCGTATACAGATGAGTACGCCCCGTATACTCGGCTGGGTTGACTCGACTGGTTTGTTGACTTAGACCTTTGACCAAGTTTGACCTAAGGGTATTTTAGGCAAATTGAGTGGTACTTGAGATCTGTCATTATTTGGTGTTTAGGTGACCAGTTGAGTTATCATTCGGAGTTGTGTTCTGTCAGATATCTTTACAGACTGAGAGGTGAGTTTTCCCTCACTGTACTTGTGGGTCGAAGGCACCAATGCCGGACCAGTAGATTATGTATCATGGTTTAGGATGTTGCTATGTTGTAGTGATCTGTTAAGATCT